TTTTTTTTTTTTTTTTTTTTTTTTTTTCATATCATTTTATCAATGAACTAGACAAAACTTAGTCTCCGGGTATATAATAGATGCTTCCATAATCAAAGCATCTTTATTTTTTCTTAAATCTTAATGGACGAATTGTAATTGTAATTCACAATCCTTTGTATATGATACATTTTGTTGGCATAATTCCTCTTTTTTTTTGCTGTAACAAGTCGTAGCAAAAGCTAAATTCTTCTTACAAACACGCATATCGTTGCTTGTATTGGCTCGAACAAGTTTACTGCTATGCTATGCATATTACAAACATGCTTATCTTTCTAATTATAAGGCGATCGAATTATACTATATGCATCTATGTTACATTACAATTTGTGTCAAAATTTTCAAGCAGAGGTCAACAAATATTGTCTCAACTTCTACAACGCACAAAAATATTCTTATTTCAAATCAATTGTTACGCAAATTCAAATATATCTATTACAACTGTAAAAAGATCATATACAAGAAGTATATTAAAATTATGTCTAAAAAAGATAAATTAGAATCGGTAAAGGTTTTTTTTACTTGTACATTAATTGACTAATCTGACTGCAAATCAAAACTGAGGTAAACGTGTATTCTGTTCTACTTATCATTGAATAATACTTCTTCAGTCCAGAAAGCTTACTTTCCTCCTGTACATTATCTTATATCCATGTACCTGCAAATAATTTATTTTATCGTAAAGGTCTATATGAAAAGGGGGATTTTTCAATTATTCCATTGGGACATAAATCTGTGCAAAACTTTAAAGTTTTGAAAATTTAAAGATATATTATTTTAAAACTTATATATCCCTCTTCTACATATAGTTCTTCACCCAACTATGTATGTTTTTTTTTTTTTCTTCTTTCAAAGATTAGAGATTGTTAGATAAATTGTATAAAACAGAAGGTTAGCCCAAAAATTAGGCCCCTTCCATAGCTTGCCATGCTTTCAGACAGATTCAACATAGGTTCCATAAATTTGACAAACACTATGCAATATATATTACCTGTTAATAAAACAAATTGCCTTCGAGGTGGTCATTTTCAATTGTGATACCATTTCTGGAAAAAATACTCTCAAAATTTGTCTCAATGTCGTACCCTGTTTTCAAATAATTAATCTTTCAAATGTTAAACTTTCAGCCTAAGCTTTCTCATGTTAGAAACTGTAAACAATTTCATTCAAATTGATTGTTTTACACAATGAAAATTCCACAGCTTACAAAACAATTCATGGTATTGAGCTGCCCATCAAACTGATTCACTTTCCAATTAGAACAAAATAGACTACACAATTGTTTCCGGTGACCTGTTTCCCATTATGGACGAACGCAATCTCCCTCCACAGATTTGGAACATGTTTGAAGAGGCGACGACATCAAAACGCTTTTTCATAATTGTTGGAAACGACCTTAGACCTCGAAGGCCTCCCACTGCTACGCTATCATAGCGGCTATGGGGCTGAAACGCATTATTTTGCTGAGCAAGATCCACGCTACCGAGGCGAGGGCGCAAAGCGTAACACCACCCCATCCAAAATCCATGCTCCAGGAGCTGGTGAATCGTCTGGCCTTGAGAACATTACGAGAAACCGGTCCACCAATTACACCATCCTCAGGGCCATCCAGTATTCGAGCTCCACGATCCTGAGCTCTCTTGAAGTGAATAATCGTCAGGGTAAACAATGCGAATGTGGCTAAAACAATTGTTTCATATTAGAAGAAAATTTTTTTCCAGTAAAAATAATTGAATTATTTATTTTTATTTTAATAATGAAACTCCGTAACGAATTTGAATCAATGGAAGAAGAAAAACAAAAGCGTTAATTGGAAGAAAAAGATATAAGAGAAAAATGCGATATAGTTTGGAGTGTTTGGATGACGTCTTATCAGAAGCGAGAGATGTTTGCCTTTTATCGTACTCGACGACAACTACTGGTGCCAAGAAAGAAACTCTTTTATTGAATGAGAAAACACTTTTGTTATTCATTGAAAAGTTATTGAAGCCTTGATAAAAAATAAGCTTACTTCATGGCACAATTCAAAATACAAAGTTCAACGAAAATGTAAATTGGATACTTGTAATTATTAGTTTGTACTTTCATTCTTCACGCTTACTTTTGAAAACCAATTTCATTTTTTGCGTTTATTATCAATGAATAAACACGAGAAATTTATGTGAACCAAACTTGAAACTTTTAACAATGTATTTCACTCTTAGAACAGCTTATTTTGTGGTCGACTTTTTAAGTACGCAGAAATCTTTGCGGTTACCGGGTTTCACGAAAGTATATAATGTTTTAAATCGATAAAATTTATTCGATTAATGGGACTAATTATAATGACGTTTCGAAAAGAATTTTGAAGAAACTCACCTGCTAAAAGATACATCACACCGGTAACAAGGACCGCTGATATTTGGTGTCTGCAAAGTCCAAAAAATCCAATGAGAACCGCTGTGCCCAAAATGATCAAGCAAACTAGAGAACAGGAGATACTCAAGTTCTGCATTCCTGCGAAACAACATGCATTTCTATTGTTTAGAAAATTTGCTTGTAAAACATTTTATTGAAATATAACAAATGCTCGAATACTATTTAATAGAGGAAAAATTTTTAATAAAATAAAGAATAATCGATTTGAATGAAACAAACGAAATTCAAAATTAATCCTACTGGAAAATTTCAATGAGTAATCAATAAAGTAATTTTATTTGAGCTATGTCTATGTCTATGTGGAGAAACATTGAAAATTATACTGTATTGATTTAATTTTCAGTCGCCATAAATAGAAATCAATCTAGCAATAGTGATCATGTCAATCATCATGGAAATAAAACGAAGAAGAAAAGAAAAAAGATGTACTCACGATTTTGCCAGGCGGCACGAATCTCCTCGTGTGCTTCGTCGGGCGTCAAGTAGTTAATGCACCTCTCTTGCGGAAAATCTACCTGACCTAGTAGTCGTATTTCCTCTTCTGAAACGTGAGCAGTAAAAAAAAAAAAAAAGAAATGACGTGGTTTTCACGCTGTTTCTTGCACGACATGGAACAAAATTATGAACGGGTAGGTTTCCACTTCTCTCGTTTCTTTGCACCTCGATTTTTAATTAAACGATCCTTAAAAGTTTCCCTCCGCGTGTTAAAAATGTGATGAAAGAGCGTAAAAACATTCAATCCAGTTTATTGAAAAAGTATCAAAGAGGAGCAAATTTTTACCGAATTCTTATTCGAGTAACATATTTTTTATATAACTTTGGATTCATTATAAATTCTAACGAATGTTTAATTATAAATTGAGAAGATATTTCTTTTTATATGTTTTGATTTTTAATTGGAAAGCTTCATATTTTTTTAGCACGACAGCAACGAAATATATAAAGAAATATATAAAGAAATATATGAAAATGGAATCGATCGGTTAGAAAATGAAAATGAAAATAAAGATCGCACGGTTGGTCTTTCGAAAAAAAACAATAAAAAATGTATTTCCGTGTATAATGGTTTGGTATACACATTGGTTTGGATTTATATGTGACCGATTAACTCGAAATACTTAATACTTGAAATGAGTAGTCAAATTAAATCTCGGGCCAAGAGCGCCGAATAGTTGGAGCGTGAGATTCGATATCAGATTCCGAATACTATCGGCTCGTTGGAGAGGATGAACCTCCAAAGCATGGATTTCCGTGAAATGTCAGGAAGACGAGGATTAGAAGGCCGTAGAAACTTGGAGAATTGAGTAATAATAAATTCTGAAGCAGAAATAGCTCGATCCAAGTTCATCAGATCTGGGTTATTCTATCTACCCTTGTGTCTCACTTTTCATTGAGCAAATGAACAATGATATTTTAAGATAAATGTAGGTTAAATAAAAAAGTAAAATTTCATTAATGAATTTCAACATCTTCGAAATTATTATATTTAACAAAGAATTTCAGGGATTTATTGTCTCTAAAGAATGTACAAATTATTTGCATGGATATAGAAACATCAAATATCACGAGATAATTTCAACATTTGCGAGTCAAGAATTTTAGATTGATTTTCACGAAGAACATCAGTACATAGAGGAAGGAACGTGCACCGTTTGATTTAAACAGTAACGTTTCGTGCTTGGCGTGACCAGAAACCATCAAAGAAAGTTCTCCAAAAAAGAAAAGAAAAAAGGAGGAACTAAACGAAGAAATTGAGTACTTTTGCTAAGGTCAAGTTTATTCAACGATAAAAATTCATCTTATTTATAAATATAGCGCTATAACTTTTTTTTTATCCTAAATTCATTACTACTTCTATTTCTATTTAATTTTCATATTTTCCCATAGCAGAAACTTCCAGTGTAAAAAGTTAAAGAATTTAAATACGAGCTGAATAGGTAGTTCGGAAGAAAAGCAAATAGTAATCATAGTCTTTTCATTTTTCTCTTGTACCCAATAAGACGAGAAAATTAAACTTCAGGACATACAATCAACAGTGAAAAATCATCCAATAAATAAGAAAAGATCATCAAAAACGTAAAAATATTGAAATTTTAACACTGGTATTGGTCTTTTTTTTTTCAATTAAACTTTTTGGACGAGAATACAAAGATTCTTGACAAGTAAGTTCGTAATAAAACGTCGAGAAATATGAAGGAATGATTTCGTTATATCACATTGCAATTTTCAATATTACTGAATCGTTATGAAAAGAAAAAAAAAAGAAAGGAAATAAGAAAATTTTCCATAGAATTTCTTATTTAAAGAGATCGCATTTTGATACATAAAAATAATTATGTTGCTCATTAAAGAATGCAAAAAAAGAAATTAATAATAAAATTATATTTATAAATTATATTAATAAGGAAAAAATTTATAATTTTTTTTGTCAAACATAAAGAGATAGATAAAAATATGCTCAAATGATGATCTTAAAGTAAATCACATCTATTTATGATATCTTTTATATTCTTTTTTTTAATGTTTTCTGATTGATAAGATTATTATTAAATTGAATAATCTTATCGTATTTTATAGCGATAACTTTTTTGCACTTCTATACATAGCAACTGTATTTCTTGATGCTAAAATGTAAAACAAATCAATATGAATGGCAATGATTATCAATTTGAGTGTTTATCATAAATAATTTTTCAATAATGTACCTTCATATTTTGATTCATTTTTTTACATTGTATGAAATTTGTTCTTGATTTTTTTTTCTTTTTTCTTTTTTTATTTGATACACAATTCTTTCAAATATTCAAAGCATTTAATTTAAAACGTATTGTATTTTCTATGATGTTTTGTTTAATTTTTTATATTTTTTTATGATTGATTTTTTCTTCAAGAAAAATTTTTTTCGAAAACAATCCATTTTTTTTTTATCTAATATTTTCTTTGAATTTTATGAAATTATTACGATATTATTTATTTGTTTTTGTAAAAACAAAAGAAATAAGTGCGTATGACGGATTTCAGTAGAAAGCATCGATTTATTCGGAATCTATTCGTACATTTTCATCTATAAAAATTTTTTTTATATCTTCTTTGTTATTATTGTTGTTATTATTATTATCAAATTATCATTTTGTAGTAGTTGTAATTTATTTTTTTTATTATTTAACTATAGTTTTCTTCTTAATGATGTTCAAATATTTCTTATTATTCAAATTCTTTTCTTAATATCTTTTCTTTACTTTCTTATTCTTTTTCGTTTTTTGTTCTAGAAAGATTCTCGTTATTAAAATTTCCTTTCTCAGACGTATTCATATTTTAAACTTAGTTTAATTCTCATTGAAAAAGATAGAACATTGCAATTCTCAAACACATTCGCATTCAAATGTCATTACTTGATGCTTTAATTTAAAGTCTCGTTATATTGTAGAAGCTACTGATATATGATATCAGCATTAAAACTAATTATCTGATAATTTTTGTTCATAATATAACATTTGTTTTTCAAACAAATTATCCATATCTATTTAAATTTACAAAATTACTCAATATTCATTAATTAAAAAAAAAAAAAAATTAATCAAAAAAAAGTAAATTTTTGTTTAATATGTTACTCTTCGTTTCGTTTGAATGAAGTTTTTAGCACAGTGAAAGTGATTGGGACAAAGTTTTCAACGAAGAAACATCCAAGATGTTCATGGTCACGGCATGCCTAGTCAGACAGTACGATATTTCAGATCGTAATCGACTGGTCGATAGCTTGGTCAGAGTCAAGGTGGTATCCATGTATAGAACACCGGTTCATACGGAACCGCATCATTGTAGATACGTCGAGGTGATTACGTGAGGTGTGTGCACTGTGTATCATTGAAAATTTACACACAAAATCGATTTTTCACGTTCAAACAAATATCTTCAAGAATTACTCATCAAATTATTTTCTGACACATTTTACTATTTTAATATTGAAAAAATATTTAATTAAGATAAAGAAAAAATTGATGCGATTTATATAAAATACACGAGTAAAGCTTTTTTAAAAACTAATAAATAACGAATTAAAAAACATCGTCAATGGTAATCTAAAAAATCCATGCAAGTTTTAAATCCTAAACTATTTTCTAAACATAAGAGAATATCTAACAAAGCTCTGTTTAATCAAAATTCATTAAATTGTATACTTACCAGTAAGCGAGACACACATGATCCAAATACCACCGTACATAGGTACGAGAAAGGTAGAATGATGGTTTCTGTGGCCGGATGTTGGTTCTACCATTGCTACTTGTCCATCCAAATACCACGTGAGTGTAACATTCGCATGAGTTAAAGCCTCTTTATCCCAGCCAACTTCTTCCCAGTGATCCGACATTATGGCACCACACAATAACCCGGTCGCTAGAACAAAGATGAAATACAATTCTCTGTTAAGATATTGACGTTCTTTTGTGTTGGAATGTTCTCATTATTTTAAATCCTTATAAGTTGATAGTCAATTGATAATGCGCATAAATGAAACGTAGAAAACAATCTTTTGAACCATTTGTTAAAAATTCTTAAAACTTACTTGCTTTTAAAATTGTATTTTTTCGATACTTGTAAAATTTATATGATTTCAAAAATAATCACATGTAATATATCATATTTTTTCAGATGTTTATTTTGTAAAGAAATATACAATAATTTTGTATATGAATTAATATCTGAAACGTCTGATGATATATACTGCATTATATTACTTTAGCTATTATTGCATCTCATAAACTCTACTGCTAGAAATGAGTTTCTTTTTCCTAAGGATAAATAGACAATGATTCTAAGATTCTACAACGTTTGCTAATATTGACGACAATGAATTCTAAAAGTTTAACGAGAAGCCTTGAGAAGAAGCATCATTTTCGTGCCATAGGCAGACTTGTATGCCATAGAAAATTTTATTACATAATATAAATCTAGTGGCAACCATTGGCAAGGGTTCTCGAATATAATAGGATATAGAAGCACTTCTCTCTGAGTGACCATATCTCTCAAGTGAAAAAAATGTACGGTGCAATGAATTCAACCGGTGGTTGTTGACCCTTTTACCAGAAAGAAATCTTTCAGGAAAGCAATAAGAGATATTAATAAATCTATTAATAAAATAATGAACACTTAAAAAAGTGAAAATGAATAAAGTGTTTATCGAAGAAAGTCACATGGTATCGTTATGATAATGCTATCCAATAACGATACATATATATATATATATATATATATTCATATATATATATATATATTCTATGTTTTCAGATAATTTCATTAAATTATATTATTTTTTGCATTTAAATAGCCATGATAAAATAATAACAATTATTAAGAGTAAGAATAAATGTCATCTATATGAAATACAGATATGATGCGATGACGCTGCAAAATGCGACGTTTCGTTTTGAACCAAGAATAAAAGTATCATTATTCACGTGTTTCTTCATTTTACAAGTATTCTCTATTTTATATAAACTTTAATACGCAATTAATCGATACATCATTAAAAACGTACGCCGGTATCAATTAATGTGATGAAATGTAGATCTATGTATTTATTGGAAGTTTTTTATCGGTCACAGTATTTTTTTCACATAATGCAATTATAGCACACAAATTGGAAACACGATGGAAACATCGTAATATATTTAGATCATCCTTCATAATATCCTAGTGACACGATTCTTCGGATCAGCTGATGGTTTAACGAATGAGTCTATACACAGGATTGGAAAAAGCACATTCTATACCATTTAACGTGCGTCTACCAAGCTAATAACGGAAATAAACCACCTTATCCGATTATTCATTACGTAAGATGGATTTTGATTATTGCATAGCCGGTTTAGACGATCCGTCCAAGCGAAGACACGAGACGTCGAGCAAATGGGAGGACCATCGAACGCAATGAATTGTGCCGATTACCTGCGAAAGTGAGGGCTAGCGTCGCAACGAGAAAAACAAGACGTGGACCAGGGGCCCTGGGTACACGAGTAGGCTCCATCCATGCAGGTGGTGCCCAGGGCGACCGCTGGCAGCCCACTGAAAGCTGCACAACTGTACCGACAGTTGCCAGTTACGCACTGACCAATCAACACCCCCGGAGCTCGTGGTGTTTTCGGCGACTCTCCACTACTATAAGGGGGCAAACGATCAGCACGCCCTCTCCGTTCTGCGTCGAAGCGCACGAAAATCGACCGACGTACCACCCAACTAACCACCCCACCCGGATGCTGCAGACAATCCACTCCGATGATTTTCTCTCTTCTTTCTCGCCCTTCGAGAGATGAGAGATCATTTCTTTTCGTTATTCTATTCTTCTTCTTCTTTTTCTTTTTCTTCTTTCTCTTCTTTTTCGTTCTTTGATTCGATCCACTCCTTCCTAAATTATTCTCTTGATAGTTTTCTTTATTATTATTAACGATGATAACAGTTCTTTTCCCGCATTAGCGTTTTTAACATTGTTTCTTTGGATTACGAAGAACTGTTTCTTTATCGTGTCATCATTAAAAGAATTTTTTCTGGTATATAATTTTATGGATGGCTTTTTAAAAATTTTAATTTCAATGAAGCATTAAACTTTCAATGAAACTTGGTATAACAAACATGATAGTTTTTTTTTTTTAGAATTCTAATATAAGAATTTGAGCTGTTATCAATATGAATAATAAAAGCTTTAAAATAAAAATATTATGATAATAAATTATAAAACATAATAAGTCTTCAAAAACTATCTATCATTAATTTACATCAACGTTGCGAATTCTATTATTTTTTCTATTTATTATTCTATTTATGAGATTCTGATTGGATTATGAAAAAAGCGTTCTGTTTGTTAGTCATTTATAATAGAATTAGAAAAGTACGATTGTTAACAAGCTACTTACAATTGTGCTAATGTTAATAATATTAATGATATAATACTCGGCATTTAAATGTCATTCTCTTATCCGAAATTGCTTAACCGCAAGTTGTACAACCGCAAGTTGTTTTTAATCAAGTTGAATTCCTACAAAATCTTAAAGACTTTCTATATTTATTTAGTCAGTGTTGACAAATTAGGGAGAGACGAATGCATTAATTTGACTTTAAATATAATCCATATAGAAAGCACGACACGTATCAGGTGGTATAATATTCTGTACACGTTTTAATTGCATCATAATATTATCAATACTCTGCGGACGTATAATTAAAGATGTTTTAACGATGATCGAAAATCTAAAAAATTAAAATATTATACATATTAATCAAGTTATTATTATTAGTTATTGCTATACTATTAATCAGTTTTTGGTTTTTATAAAATGTTATCGATAGAAATTTAAGAAAAAAAATTAATTTTTCAAATATTATTATATTGTTTCAAAAGTAAATACATTTTTATGTTAAAGATGGCCGATGTCGCCGAAAGTGCAGCCTTTACCGATCCAGCTACGGCAATCTCTCATGGAAAACGACATTTGTTAGTGCGAGATTATACCATGGCTGTAACCGCATTGGCACAAGCTTGTCAATTGCTTGCTGAAAAACATGGAGATACTGCGGATGAACTTGGTGAACCTTATTTATTATACGGTCGGGCTCTTCTTGGTCTAGCAAGAGAAGAAGCTGGGGTATTGGGTGGCGGAGTACCAGGTACAGAAGAAACTGAAGAGGATGATGAAGAAGACGAGGAAGAAGCTGAAGATGAAAAATTAAGCAACATAGATGAAAAAGAGGACGAGGAGAGTGAAGATCATACAGATAATGGTACGGTGAGCGATGAAAAAGAGAAAACTGCTATTGAGGACAAAGCTGAAGATTCGAAAGCTGACCAAGAATCTAAAAAACCAGAAATTGAACAAAAAGAAGAGAAAATAGAATCAAATAATGAAAAACAAGAAGTTGAAAAATCAGAACTTGATAAGACAGAAGATAGTAAAATAACGAAACAAGTGATAGAAAAGCCAGAAAAGGAAGATGAGGAGAAACCTGCAGCTGGTTCTAGTAAGGATATAAGTCACGCTAATGGACCATCTTGTTCATCTGATCATAATGGAGATGTAAAGAAAAATGGAGAAAATGATAGTGAGGATATAGGAAATGAAGATGAAGAGGATGAAGTCAACAACCTACAGGTTTGTAAACAAAATTATTTATCTATATATCTATAAATCTTTTTTTTATTTTTTTATTATTATTCATTATACATAATATTTAAGTTAAGATTGCATTAATCAAATTTTATTTAAAAATTTTTGTTATACAAATTTTCTAACATCGAAAATTATAAAATTTAATAAATGTTTGTTATTAAATTAAAGGTCGCTTGGGAAGTATTAGAGCTTGCGAAATTGGTGCTGTTAAAACGTGGTCAAACAGGTTGGAAATTATTAGCCGATGCTTATCGACTCTTAGGAGAAGTGGCTATGGAGGGAGGAAACTTTCAAGGTGCTCTGAATGATCTGCATCGGTGTTTGGAGCTTTTACAACAGATTGAGCCTCAGGAACCAAGAGCAATAGCTGAAATACATTATCAGCTTGCATTGGCTCATTCTTTGGGCAACGAATTCGACGCTAGCATCGAAGAGTTTAATAAAGCTACAGAATTATTAGAAACGCGTATAAAAGAATTGGAAGAAATAAAAGAACCTCCTAAAACGGATGATTCTTTCTATACTGTAGAAGGAGAGATTCAAGAATTAAAAGAATTGCTACCAGAAATCCAAGAGAAGATTTCAGATATGAAGGACTTCAAGCAAGAAGCCTGCAAACTTGTCATAGAGGGTATCAAAAGCAAAGTAGCTGGTGGTTGTTCAAACGGTGCTGGACCAAGTGGTAATAATGATTCTGCACCTAAAATTCAAAAACCTGCTAGTGACATATCTCATTTGGTGCGTAAGAAACGGAAAGCCGACGAACCAGAGACAGAAGTTGCGTCGCCATGTAAAAAACCGACACCAGAAAAAGCTGTTTGAATGAATTTAGTGTATCTGAAATATTCATGGTACCTTGTTACTTGGTTTGACATGGTGAAAATTTAAAGAAATCTGTATTAAAGATAGAACTTTCAGTGTTGGGCCAAAATAAGATAAAAAATCAGTGATTCCAGCAGAAAGATTCTATATATCAGGGAAAATATTAATAGAATTTTAATAGAAACAGACAGAATATTTTAATTTTATCTCTTTTATTCAATGATTACAGTCAAAAATTATTGAATACATATTTTATTTTTTTCTTTTTTTTTTTTGTTATTTCTGTAATTCGTGTATTTATTCTTTATCTAATAAGAAATTAGCAATAAACAAATTGCTGATTACTGTCCAAATTATATTCATTTTTAAACTCTTCTTTTCTAAGACATATTAAGGCATTAAGAAATAAGGCTGTTTATGTATAAGTCCGACTAATAAACGTTAAATGGTGATTTTTCTAAACGTGTTATAGATATAAATGTCACATTTTAAATAAAATCTATGCTATATTTTTCAAATTATATCATAAAAATATTGTATAACAATCAGATTATTTTATATACTTAATATCTACGATCACATTTTTGGACGGATTGCATTAATTCAATGCATGTAAATACTTTACATAGCTATTCTCCTAAAAGTTCCTCGATATCGTCTTCTTTATCAGAATTTTCTTCCCGTTGAATTTTCATTTTATAACCAAGTGCTTCTAATACATCGACATTGAAATAATAAGCCAAATTTATGCCAGGTATTAAACGCTTTAATTCTTCTATACTAGCACGTGCTTTATCTGTATCGCCAATATTAATATAATGTTGAGTAATAGTCGCAAATAAATCGCCACGACGAACTGATTGTTCCAAATCTGGTCCTTGAGAATCGAGTAATTGATGCACTTGTTGCATTGCCGCAGCAGTTTCGCCTCTATCAAACAACCTATATAATAATAATTAATAATATTTCATTAATCATAATTTTAATTTCTTTTGCTATATATAAAATAAAGTAATACTTTACTTTTTAATATCTAAATAACGTCTAACCACTGCTATCCTATTGTTCACTAAATCTATCGCTCTTTTATGAATATCGAGATCTCTTGGAGTTACTACTTTTGCCAAACATCTATTTGCTTGATTCAGAGCATCGAGAGCTTTTTCATAATTTTGAAACTCGTCAATTTCTACTTGTGCACAAGCAACGTAAAAATTGGCCAGTAAATCCATTGCTTTCCCCTTAGAATAAAAATTAATAATATTTTTTAGTACTTCTGGTTGATTTTGCCAATCTAATGATTGCAAATAATTCCCAGCCATGATATAGATCTCTCTTTGTCTAGAAACTTGAGCGAAGAAACAAATCTTTTCGGTATCACCAGATTTTAGTAAGGCTTTCATAGCTCTCAATTTGTTACCAGCTTGAGTAAATTTTTTTGTTGCCAAATGATAATTTCCTTGTTCGAACGCTATTTCACCTATTCTTTCTAATATAGATATTCGCATTTTTTCATGATCTACGTCATTATCAACTTTATCCAAAGTCATTTTTTCAGCTAAATCTTCGCTTAGCAGAATATTGTATTTCTGTATTAATTCCAAAGCTTCCAAATATTTTCTTCCAGTTGCAAGTAGATCTACTGCTTTTTCAATCTGATCATTTTGAACGAAATAATCAGCACATTTTATTATCAAAGCAGGATCAGAATCCGCATTAACATCCATAATAATTAATTGTAAAGCACTATATTGTTTCGTTTTAAAGGCAATATCTAGTGCTTTATGTAATAAACCAGCTTTATGATACAACAAAACCGCTTTATCTGATTGATCATTTTCTTCATAATATTTCGCAACATCTATCTGTGATTGTCTTGAAGCTAATACAGCTAAAGGCCATAATTCCTCGAACATATCATGTTCTTTGCATAATCGAATTGCATTTGTATAAGCCTTGGCAATAGTATAAAAATGAATAGCTTGAGATATATTATTTTTTGACTCGTAATGTGCCGCTAAATGATATGCAGATGCAGCATGATTTGTTCGTGATACTAATTCACTAACTTCATTTTCTCTATCAAAATAACAAAGCAATCTGGTCATTGCAAGAGTATTTTTAGCTTGTTCGTACAATTTCAATGCCCCTTCCATGTCGCCAGTTGATTCTATATATTGTGCATGCCAATTTTTAATTTCTGGATCGTCGGAATTATTAAGATATGCCAAAAGTTCTCTAGGTCTCATGAATAACATTCTTGGCACTTCAAATCGATGACAATCTGCCTTGGTATACATTTCTATAGCTTCTGCTATTTTACCTTCTTGTTCAAGAGCTTTAGCATAACTGTAATAGCTTGTTTTTTCACAAATTTTATTCTCATTTTTTGCTAATTCTATAGCTTCTTTAAACTTATTACGTGCTTCAAAAAGCTTGCCCAATAAATCTAATCGTTTTGCTTCACGGAAAAGACGTTCAGCGTCATTATATAATCCTAATTCAACTGCTAATATTCCTACTTTGGCTTCCAGGTTTAAACTGTTATCATGAATAGCTTCTCTAAGAGCTCTTGCTGCTCGCGCTTGTTTCATATGACCCAAACATAAAAGAGCCATGTTTAATTGCTTTGTTTTCACACACATCCTCGCCAAGCTTTTCCAGATACCTTCATTTTTAATAGATTTAATCGACTTAAAAGCTTCTTCCATATTAGCAACACTGATATGAAAGCTGAAATCTAAAACAGCTTTTTTCGTAACAGAATCGCATATACCTAATTCTTCAAAATCCCTCATAAGCAATTTTGTTACTTTACTAGTTCTTTTTATTGTTTTTTCAGAATTTAAAATAATGATGTGTGGAGAATGAACACCTAAAACTCTACAATTTTCATCCTTAATTGGCTTTATATCCTGTACAACAATCCCATGATCTGATGTAGCAAACATTGATACCAAAACCACAGTAGTTTTTAAAATATCATAATCATTTTCATTATTTTGTTTTGAATATTTGGAATCTCTTGTCTCTAATCTTTGTGCTCGACATACTAATAATCTAGGATCTTCTATGTCCCAATAATGAGCAGTAACTAATCTTCCTTTGCATTTTATAGATAAATCAGTATCATCTTCATCTACATTTTTTGATTCTGCAAAATCAAATTCATGTATCTGATCACTTTCTATATCCCAAACATATAAAATTGAACTTGGCATTAAATTTGTCATTGCAACAGTTATAGATACGCAACGACAATCAGCGTTACATCTTGCTTCAATAATTTCAGCAAAATCAGTAATCGCCTCATAAGTTGCCATTGCTCTGGTATGCAATTTCGCCTCACGTTTGCTTAAATCCCAAATTTTTAAAATACCATTTAAAGATGCAACTGTTAAATATTGCCCAGTCAAATCCATAGTAATTGGTTCACCTTCTTCTGGTAATGTAGGTAACATTTGAATGAGAGTGCCCTCCATTGATCGTAATTGTATGACTACAGGAGTAAGAATGATTAAAGTATGATCATAAATTAATAATTTTTCAGTGTCACAATTAAAATTTGCAATTAAAGTAGTATTGAAAGATGTATCAATGTGAATTCTATAGATCACAACTTGTCTACCAGAAGCAACAGCAATATATTCTTTATTAATAGCGACAAATTGCACTTGAATATCAGTTTTTAAAGTGTGATTCATCTCATCAAATTCTATTAGAATTTGAGTAGAACTGAGTTGACTAGCACAAACGCCATCATTATATGCAGCGCACATTGCTTGTTGATATAATATAAAAACGTTAGTAATACAATTCACTGCAAGAAGTGGATTTCTTAGGAAAGAAGCACCCCATGTAAGCTGTTTTACTGTGCCATGAATGCTACAAGATTCTGGCACATGTGGCCAACCATTTTCATCACAATCTGTTTCAATTTTACGTTTCCAAAAATAAATTGTTCCTAAATTAGTTCCAGCAGCTAAGGTACCTATACAATATTATAATTAATAATTAAATAATATATATATTTCTAGATATGTTGTAAATAAATTGCTACCATTATTTTTACAAAAAGATATGCTTGTGCAAATTTCCTGTGGTGTGGCAATGCTTCCAGTAGATGAATCTGGTGGAGATAACACATAACTATCACCACTATGAAGATCCCAACAACGAACGCCTAATTCTCCTGTAAGAATTGCTAAAGTATTTCCTCCTGCCCAACACATTGCTGGACCAGATCGTAATATATCATATCTACTGCTAAGTTTCACCTATATAAAAAATAGTTTTACAAAATTTATATCATATTATAATGAAATGTTAAAAAAACAAATTTAGTTACTTTTGTCAATTCAGTCAATCGGCCTGTAATAGGATCTGTCTGAAAATGTCCTATATTTAAACCTTCTGTCATAACAATTAGAGAATCTCTAGTTTGATGATGCAATATTAATTGTATTGCAGGACCATTCGTATTTAGAATCTCTGTACATTGCCCCTGATTATCAACAAAAAATATCACACCACTTGTAGTTCCAATATAAAAGGCATGATTATCTTTTTGTGTTATAATTGTTGCCGGTGCAGCTGTTCTAGGACGCCAAGAGCTGAATATATCTAATGCTCTTTCATCTCCTCCAATTGCAGTTTTTGCTAAACCACTAAAAATCATAAAAAATTTATAATTAATTCTGTCAACAGAAATATAAAATTAATTTTTATTACTTTATATCCGTTATTGATTTTGGTGGAATGGTCTTGAATACTATTTGTACAAAAGAATCTTTTAACTCATGATGAAACATCATTAACAATTGACCTCTTGAATCAATTTTCCAACCAACTATAGATCCAGCTGAATCTGCAGATACCAATCTTCCTCCATGTTGACTCCATTGCAAAATTATAATAGGATCACGATGTGGTGTAACTACTAAATTAAATTCAGTGCTACCAGTATCACCTGGCCATATCTAAAAGATAATTTATAAAAATAAATTTTTGCTTCTATCATTTTAAAGCATTTTTATAAGAAATTAAAAGATTGCTGACCTGTAATTCTCCATTTTCCCACCCTGCTGCAAGCCATCGTCTTTCTGGATGCCATCCAAGAGCAGTTACTTGAGCTACAGAATGTCTAGGTGATTCTACATCTTGAGTAGGTTCTCCCTGATCATCATAAATTGTTATAAAACCACCCTTATCCTGAGAATATGCAGCTACAGCCAACAAAGGATAATTAACATGCCAAATTGCATGAGTACTTATTGAAGCTGTTTCTGGATTTTGTACTCGCGTATCGAAATAGAGTGACATTATTTCTTGATTTTATTTTTAATATCATTAATATTATAGAGATTTTTGTATTCATTAGAAAGAAATTTTAATATATTTTTCCAATTACATATCAATTATTTTTTAAATTTATTTAGATAAAAAATATTTATTATATAAACAATATGATATCATTAAGAAATTTATTATATATATAAATATTAGAAATTTTAATTAAAAAAAAATTGTCACTTGACAACTTAGAACTTAGTTGACAACATGTTGTCATGGCAATATGAACGTCTAACTCCATCTTTTGTTCAAACATCATAAATAAATATCTAGCACCATCTGTTGTTAATTATTAGAAATACTTAAATACTAGAATCATTTGAAATATGCTTGTAAATACATATTTTTATATTTTTTATTAAGAAGAAACATAATATACAATTGATATAATTGTAATGTACTATAAACTACGCGATTCACTATTCTATAAACTCGAGTTGAATTTCTTCATATTTAATATTTGATCTTCAAGAATAGTTATTTTCTAAAATTTTTAATTTATGTTAATTCCATACTCTTATAATATTATTTTCCTTTTAAATAAAATTTATGATACAATACCATGAGATATTCCTGAGTTTTATTTTCAGAAATTGTTTCTGTTTCTGTTAACAGCGTTTTATACTGTTTTTCTAATGCAGAAACAATATTATCCATTTCATTTTGTTTTTTTATATTCAGAGATGTACATAATTCATTTTTTTGTTTTTGCAGTCGCAAATGTAATGTTTTTATTTCCATATCTTTGTTCTATAATATTATAGATAAAATAGAATTAATTTATAATATTCTAATATCTCATTTAATTTACCTTAATTATATATGACAATTTTTTTTCATAATCATTCTCAAGTTTCTCTTTTGATTTTTCGAGTTTTGAAATGGCTTTTTTTAAAGCAAAAACTTGAGACATCAAATCTTGATTTTTTTTTTGAGTTTCATAATCCATTTCAGTCCTCATTTTGTTTAATTCTTCTTTCATCATTGTATATTGCTCAATTACGATTGCCTGTAATTTATCTTCCTGAGAAAAATATAATATATATTTAACAATATATTTAAATCAATAATCATATTAAAATATTTTATTATTTATAAAAAAAATACATCTTTAATCTTCATTTCCAATTTCATTTCTAAATCATGTATCTTCTTAGACAACAATTCAATTTCTTCTTTTCTTTGTGTATCTTTCTCTGATAATTCTATGTCTTTTTTTTCAAGTAAATCTTTTAATTGTAATTCTTTGTGTTTCTCTTTTGTAAATGAATCAAACTGTTCACATATTGTCATTATTTTATCTATCCATTGTTCTTCCATTTCTATACTTTGCTCATTCTTTAAAATATATTTTATGATTTTCATTTTATATAAACAAAGTTTTTACTTCTTACCTTACCATGGTTGATTTGTTCCAATTTTTTAGCTATTACAGCTACACTATGATCCAATGCTTCGTTTTTTATTCGAGCTTCGTGCAATTGTTGTTTTAATTCAGTAAATTGTTCCATTACTATTAAATGATATTCTCGAATAGCATCTTTATAACTTTCATCCACAGAATTTTTCAACTTTTGCATCTCTTTCAGCCTTTAACAATTTAGAAATATTTAAAATCTACTGCTTTATTATTATTATATTTAATTGCATACTAACTTAGCTTTTAAATTAATAACATCAGTAGTTAATTGACTAAGACTTGAAGATAAGTAATTATTCATGTTTCTGTTACGATTTTCTGGATATTCTGACAATTCTCTCCTTAAATATTCATTTTGAGTCTGTAATTCTGCAATAACGGAACTCAGTGCATCAATATGCCGCTCAAAAATTTTTAGTCGACATTTTTTTTACTATACTTTGATTATGAACTTGAATAGTCGGTGAAAGATTCATAGTATGTAAACATTTTTGATTCATATTTATATCCATCATACGATGTTTTAATAATGTTTTATTTCGCTGATGCGTTGACTTTAAATAACTATGATGAGATGTCATGGTATAATCTGATAAGTTACTTACAGATGAACTAATGCAAACCTGTATTACACATTGATTATTCTTTAATTATAATAAATTTCATAAAGTCTAATATAGGTACCATATGATACGACTTAGGTAATGGTAAAAGGAATCCATTAGGTGGAGGTCTACTAAATATTCCTCCAATATGTCCCATCTTCAACTGCCTAAATAATTCCGTAAGATATTCATTTCTTAGGCGACGTTGCGAAGTAACAGAATTTAATTTGTTAAGCCAAATTTTGCATAATTCTGCAGTTTCAATAGATGTTAATGCTAAGACAAAAGGTCTAACACGTGCTAATGTTTCCTTGAAACATTCGTCCAATTTCATAGTTTCTTTTTCATTATACTCACTAATTTTTGGCATGTTCTTTTGTACTTGCTATATTATTTTACTTGCTTAGCCAAAGATATTATTTGAAATTAAGAAAAGACATTTTTTAAATAGATTTTTGCCTTTTAATTGCTCGCCGTTTTTGTTTTTGATTTGGATACAAATACATAGTAGCCATGGATTATTGAAAAAGGTGAAAAATAAATATAAAATATTTTTTTCTGCTTCATATTGAAATTATTTTAGAAATAATTCAAATCGTACAAAACAAAATCACATGTTGTGTAGTTATTACATACATATATATAAGTATTTATTCGAATTCATTATTATTAGTTAATTTTAGTTCTAGTTATACTTCATCTATGTTCAATCTAATATTATGCTTCATAGATATATTAGATCGATATATGCTCTAAAACAAGATTTGTTTAGAACTTTAGTAATAAAAAAGATTCTATGAAATATATTAGATATTGCATAAAATCTTTTTATAGCTGATCAATATAATTCTTGAAAAATTTTTAGACATATTTCTAAATCGAGTACAAAAAATATTTGCACATACTATGAATATAATAAGAAACGTAGATAATTAGAAGCATATGTGGTAAACACAATAACCACCACAAAAAAATATGGTTATAGTGCTTAATTACATTACAATAATCCTTTCATAGCCAAATATCACAGAACAGCTCACAAAATGACAAAGCTCAGTGACAAAATCATTGTCACAAGTTCATTTCTCCCTAAGCCAAGTATTAAAATAACCATTCCTTCTCTTATAAAATTATATTCTGTACATTATATTCTGTGATATCATACAGATATCACCTTTTTAATATCTATTTTTACTTCGCTACATCTACTTATAAGATAAAATTTTACAATTTACTAAATATTTTCGTACTTTGTTCATCAGCCTATCGTTTCATATTCGTCACCTGTATTCAAGTTGGTCATTGAGATCTAAAGCAGAAATTCTGCAAAATACTTATTTAAAATACTAAACTCGACTATTTAACTTAATTTGATTCTCTGTAGTTTGTTTTAATTCCATAAGTTTCCCTTTCATGGGCTGAATATTTGTACCTATCCATTCATCAATCATTGATGGAAAGAAAATAGTTTCCATCTGAAATCTTAAATATCCTTCTAAGGAAGATAATTCTAATAGTAATCTGTAAAAGATATTTTTGATTTTATAATTGATTTTATATAATTTTTACATTAATGTAAAAATAAATCAACTTACTCCGTAAAAGCGGGTACTAAATTTTCTAATTGCATAGGATTTGTATAATTATTTGCGACTTGCCATGGATTCATCCATGTAGATATTCTGTAAAAAAAATATATGATTTTAAACAACAAATATAGAACAGAATATCAGAAATAAAATATCAGAATTATTTTTTTTTATTTATAACTTACTGTTCACTAGAAACAATATTATGAAATTTAGTTCTAAAATTTAAAAACCATTCTATTCCTACTGCAACTGGCCATCCAGGAAAAAGTAAGTTACTAGGTATTGGTACAGGTCTAGGTTGTGGTGTTATATGTAAAGGATGATCCATATATCCTAAACATTTTGCCACTTGATTATGAATTTGTTCAGAATAACCATGAAGCCAGACTTTCAAGCATAACGCCAATGATGGTATTGCGGTAGGTAATAATTCACATAATGTTGCATAATGATCATATCTAAAACAGAAAATTATTTAAAATAAAATAAAATTATTTTTTTAATCATGAATTTAGAAGAAAGATACCTTGACCATCCTGTAAAGACTGTTCCTCGAAATTCACGAACTTTATTTACATGTATACTCAATTCTTCTAACCATTTTTCATGATTACTTATATGATGTCTTATGATTGGTACATGTTGAGAAGATCCAGTAGCACCTTTAAATGCAGTAGCTGCCCAAATATGAGGAAAAACTGCAGTATATTTATCCCATAAATCTAACAGAAATATTTCTATGTAATTTTATAATGATAAAATATTTACATTTATCAGTAGATAAAATCTTACCATGAGGTAGAGCAAAATTATCTCTAGGATTATAGTGCCAGATCATAGGTTCCACATATTTTCCAATATAATGATCTGAAAGTTGTAGGAAATATTTTTATGAAACAATATGTGACATGGAATAATATGAATAAATTATCGAGATACCGTTCAAAACCTGTAAATCTATTGATCTTAACATATCATCCCATATAATAATCTTTAAATAGGGATATGTTTCTTGTACATATTGTGCAATAGCCAAAACATGTTCCAGGTACAGAGATGGTTTCCCATATTTGCTAGAGGCAGCACGTTTTATACAAACTGAGCAAAGACCTAAATGCCAGACTTCATCTGCACCTATGTGCAAATATTGTATGTCTGGATGAAAACTAACTATTTGTCGAATCAAGGACTTTACCAAAGATAATGTTCTTGGATTAGATGGACAAATTGAGCTTGGAAAGTGCTCCACTTCTCTTAAAGACCTCCATTCATCATGTTTTAAAACAAACTGCAATCATTTTAATATTAATTTCTAATTTTCTAATAAGTTATAATATTATTACAATATTGTTATATTATGTAGTATAAAATACCTCCATATGACCAAATGTTTGTACTAAAGGAACAACAGCTAAACCACAATCTCCTGCAATTTGTAGGATATGTCTGGCTTCTTGAACTGTATATCCACTGATTAAACTGCTTAATCCATTGCTTCCTATATGAGAAAGCTCTCGATTGTATGGGAATGTGTCTTCCCATTCTAGCAGAAGTCCAGTGGCACCCCATGTCCTTAATAATGGAAATAACTGCAATATTAATTAAATTTTTATTATTATTATTCAATTTTTTATAAAGAAAATCAAATAAAAATATATTCAATAAGAAATCACATAAAATAACAACTATATATATAACTATATATATATATATATATAATTACACACACACATACACACACACACACACACACACTCACTCACTCACTCACTCACTCACTCACTCACTCACTCACTTACTCACTCACTCTAAAATTGTAAGGTAATATAACAGCATTTTAGGATGCAAATGTTTATTATAAATGAAAAAATATTGATCGTATGAAAAAACTAATATCGATAACAATTGACATGCTATGAAAAAAGTGGAGTGTCATAACAATTGTCATTTAATGACATTGTTATCAGAAAGAGATACAGAATGTAAACAAAATGATTGTTTATTCGAGTAACAGACCTTTTCAAAATAACAGACTCGCGGTGGGGCACCCTTGAGATCTAAGTGAACTAGCCTACAAAAGAAAGAATAAAGTTCTGTGATGCGACACTTACTCAATTGAAAGTTTTCTGAAAATTTATGTGAACCGATCGGCCGTTTACCTGTGAGAGCCAAACGTCAAGGCGTCCATCTTTCCTCCATTACTACAACGTTAATTGAAGAGACTATAATATTAGATTTTAATTAACATTTCGAGTTAAGGAGATTCTAACAAATATTTTTTGATTCTCTATTATTCTCTGGATTCTTTTATTTTTTTCTTGCTTATATTTATTACACATTTTTTTTAATTTTATATGCGCAGGTCAAAATTTAAATTTGAATTTTAATTATTTCATGATATAAATATAAAATTTGTTAAAAAAATCTTTTTTAATTTTAATTCAATAAATAATTTATGATAAAAGATAAATTTTGCAATATTTGTATAATATAAATATACATTATTTCGCAATCATGATAGGATTGCATGATAGATGATAAACTTATCTGCATGTTTAATATTTGATATAGGCGATAACGAAATTTTAATCGAAGTATGCAATAATGTAAAGGAATGGATTAATTAAAAATAATTTCTCGACGAAATATAACTTTATTTCTGTATACATTTACTTCAGCCTTATACAAAATGTTACAACTGCACATGTAATATGAACTTTCAAACGTATGATACTATTGGTCGTGATAGATCATAAGAATAGACGTCTAGTGCAGTTATTATAATGCATATAATGATGAAATTTTATGACGTCTACTTTTTATTTTTTCTTGTTTATTGATAAATTTCTCCCGAACTTTCTAAATAAAATTAAGCTTTTTGTTGCCTTTATACGTAATTATACATTGAAATCTTCTAGTGATCTTGACAAACAACAGAAGATTATATATTCTTATTACGTACATATAAATGAATCATTTTTGATTAAAATATTAATCAATTGACACAATACAAAATATATATTTAACTCATTCTCTCTTACACATTATTGTATTTTCAAAGATTGTTCTAATTTATTTTTGGAACATTACGAATAATTTCGTTAATGAACACAATAATAAAAACCCATCACAAAATAGGGGATTACAGCACAAATTACGAACTACAAGTGTACACAAACACTTGGCACAGAAATTGCCATAAAGAAAATTAACATAATATTATTAAAAGCTTTATAATCCTTTCTAATTTTTTCATTTGAAATTTCTTAAGGTTTAAAGTTCTCTTCACTTTATTATTTAAAAAAAAAAAAAATAAAATGGGCAACCAGAAAAAGAAATTTGTCAAATAGTGTTTTTTTTTTATTATACACAGTCGTGCGAAATAATTCGCCTTGTATACGGATAATATTATTATCCTTCTTTTTGCTATATGTTATTTCGTTTGTACAAAATTGAATCACCAAAGGATGATTGACACGACGAATCATATGAATAAAATGGTTTTTTTTACTAAAGATCGAACTTATTAATTAAAGTACTTTTGAATCGTGTGATCCATCCTTGGTGTCTCATGTATACAAGTGTCAGGGCAGGAATATAATAACAGTCAGCGATATACAAAAATGCGATCGGTCATTTAAAAAAATTGAGCTAATCTTAAAATTACACTTATGTTACTTTAGGACACGAATAGAGAAATCGATCACCATATGTGCCAGCCTAGATTTCGTCAAACGTAATAAACACAACAGTGAAAACAAAAAATGAAAAATAAGAGAACGAAGACAATTCTTTTACATTTTCACTTTTCGATAATTAAAAATATCGTTTAACATCATGACAAATATCTATGCTAACAGAGCGACATCCGGTCGATCTTTACTATTCTTTTAAACAGTGATTAGTTTCTAATTTATTCTTGTTTTTAATCATACGACCAAAGCATAATAATATAGTCATTTATTAAATTCTCTTCTCTAATTTATCGGAAAGTCTCTGTTCATATAACCGGTTAATAACAATATTATTTCAAACGAAAGTTCGAAATTCCATTTTTGAGGTCTTCATTTTTTTAGTCTTATTTCCTCTTGCATAAATTATGCATAGCTTACCGACAAGCGAATTCGCATGAGTCGGATGAAACATATAAAACAGTTTCCAGAAGGGAATTAACTGTTTACAAAGTTCTCTTTTTTAAAATACTAAAGAAAACTTAAATCTATCACCCATGATTCATCGTGATAAATAAATTAATTACACAATCTAACGTTTTACACCTTGGTATTTCGACCATACTCCAAAATTTGTTTATGATAAAAAAGGAGATACCTGAAAAGGAAAGGTTTTTTCACTGGATCCTTGGTAATGATACTGATGGCATTGTGATCAATGCCATAAACTCACCCTTCGCTAGTCAAGACGTCTTTTAATCTTGCTCTTGTAATTAAATGATCGTCACATTTAAACCATTGATCTCTTTGCTGCCGTATAAAGGCAGTATAGTGTCCAGTCTCCAAAGAACCTTCGTGATTTATTACCGCAAATAGAGAATATCTATTGTCGCTGAATGCCATATCTTCTCCATTCTTTGGTAGTCCATCTATCATTGCACTGTTATTGTTACCATTTCGTCTATGAGACATAAATGGAGTCATGTCCAATTGTTCTGGAAACGATATGAAGGTAGAAATCTTCTTGTCCTGTATACTAGAGTGTTCAAATCGTTTTAAGTGAAAGCTGGCCACAATAGGTAGTTGCTTCATTGTTAATTGCTTAGTGCTTTCTTGATACGTCTGACAATTACTACATTTTATTTTTGCGCTAGATCCCAAATGCTCTGCACGCGTGAACCTTTCCAAACAATCTAATAACGAGGTAGGAGGACCAGAACTATCGGAACCTGATGCACTAGCCGCTGGACCCAAATCCAAAGATATATCCCAAAATGGATCTATCGTCGTAGATACTCCGCTAAAAAATTATTACATCAATATCTTTTATAATACAAACCATAATATATTATATTGTGCATTTTGATCATACTTGCATGCTTGACAAACTACATCACTTTGAAGTCCACCAGTAAAGATTTGATCAATGATACAATTACAGTGATGTGGATTATCTTTTATTAAGATTGGTGCTGCTTCACAATGCCTATGCAGAACATCGAGTGTAGCAATAAAGAATTCATGAGCATCCTGTTGTTCGTAACCTGCTAAATGTCTAGCATGTGTCCAGATCAAATGAAGAAGCTTGTGAAGCGTCAGTGGTGCTTTGCTACCAGAATAAAATTCCTGAAAAAGATGAGACACTTCACAGACCAGGCAGCGTGTTGGCTGTGGGCAGTGGTGACGATCAGCAAGAAAATAATCTCTTAATAGCGGCGTGTGTATGAGTGCCTGTACAATGCAGTTCATGAAACATGTACTACCAAGATTTATAAGTCCTCTTAAACCTATAAATGTAATGTATAGATTAACATATATTAAATTTTTATTCACAATATAAATAATATTTCACATATATTTTTATGTCTTACCTATGGTAGAATTTTCGACCACACGTCTTCTGCGCGGATGTTTTCTTAATAATTCTGCTTCTATTTGTGTTGGTTCCCATGCTCTGTAAAATTCTCCAAAACTCAATGATTTTGCAGATTCACTCCATTGTGCTTTAGCAACTCCTAACAGTTCTCTATCATATACATAATCTCCACATTGGAAGCACAAAATATTTCCATAACAAAGATCAACAGCTATAATATAAAATATATGTTATAAAAATGTATGTTTTTTAAATATATTACTTAATTCAATTCATATAACATATAACATATAATTTATTAACAATTACCTAAAAAATGCTTTTTTGTCTTTGCATGTTCTTGTATATGACCTTTTACATAGCAGCCAAAGAATATACAATGAAGACAAGAATGTAGGCGATCTTTATATGTCTTACATGTATGACATAAACAACTAACAGCCTAAAAATATAGAAATCATGTATTTATTGCATCATATAAAAAAGATAAAAAGATAAAAAATTGTAAAACAAAAATGTTCAAAGATTAGATAAAAGAATTGTTCGAGAAAGTTAGTTATCGTGTACATTTATTTTATATAAAAAATAATAAAAACATAAAAAATTATCATAATTAAATTATATATAGCCAGATGCAAATATTTACTGATCCAACGGTACTAGAATCATAAATCTATAATACCGTTACTTTACGTGAGTTATAAATCTGGCAAAACTTTATACCGATAGAGTAATTGTATACGGCGGCCATTTTTAAATTCATTTTCGCAGATAAATCGTTCATGAAAATAACAACATATATTCAGATAAATCATCGTCAATAAATCATCAAAAATATCACTTATATTTATTATCATCGAAATTTCAATGAAATTCATTTCATTTAATTTTTCTAATATATCATTTTTTCAAAAATTATTTTATAAAAACAACGTTTTTCAATCGATCTACTTCGCATCATAGAAATATCTCAAAGATGATATGAAAGTTTGAAAAAGAATGGAAAAATATTGTGATTTTGTTTAATCATTGATTAATAAAATAAGCATTAAATTTTGTAATATTTTCAAAATACTACTGTTATATTAAACAAAATACAAAAAAAATTATACATATAAATACAATAATAAAATATTAAATTCGTTGTTAACATATCATATCTGTACGCAAAATTAAATACGTGAAAAGATAAAAGTCATTGCTTTTAAAATACAGTAAACAATACATATATGCGCATTTACAGATGTAGTTGTCATTCTGGCTAGAATTTGCATAGCCCATGACTTAAGATCGCGAGTAGCATTATGAACGACAAAGAAAGAGAATGATTTCGTGACTTAAGAAATTGCGAAAATTTTTGGCAATTTCTCATTTTTTCATATCGCTTATTTTATTATTAATTAAACGAATACAATACGTAAAATAAGATTATATAATAGAAAATGAAAAATAAATAAAATAGTATGATGTAGAAAACAGAAGTGAAAATGAAAGAAAGAGAGAGACAAAGACAGAACCTTGACCACGAATCACGTAAGAAAAAGATAGTCACACCTTTCTTACGCGTGCTTCGGTCGACGTGCTGGTCACAAAATAGGAGTGTATCACTTTGTACGGCTGGATACCCTTGGCTGCTTTGAAATTATTCAAGTGTATGCAGCCATGGTCGCTCATCTCAGGTTGGCGTGAGCGACGCTGCCGTGTCTCCTTCTCTTCACCCTGATAGTAACCGTGCACAAACTTCGATGCTCGCCGGTCTTCTTCAAAGCTAACCACCGGGACGATGACC